GTGCTTTATATCTTGTACGATCGTGTACCTTTGCAAGACTTATCATTCATTCATAAACCATGTCTATACAGCAGACATATATATACATATAATTATATGTCTGTCTTAACTGACAAGAATACTCCTGGTTTTACACTAGTAATTTGTTGGGGCCCTTTATAGATTGCTGTTCGGTGTGAGCCAAGGCTCCGTGTTGAAGACCGTACTTTGACCTATAATGGTTTACTTTTATAAATTGTGACTTGGGTGGAGAGTTGTCTCATTTGCACTCATACCACATCTTCTTATATCTATAAGCAGTATATTCTTTAAATTTCTGTGATTAAATACCAAGAAAGAAAAAAATCCCGAAATTAATATGATACTTTGATACTCAATATTTTTCCTGGAAAATATTCACATCCTCATTCGGTCTGAAAATAAGACAAGAAACTGGTATACAGAACATGCAGAAGTGTGAATGTCATAAAACCTTGTTATATCAGAAACCATTATAAATGTGAACCTGTATACGTAAGACCTCATGGGACGATGTACCTAACCACATACAGGTAATATACAAGTAGCTCTGTTATACCCGGAAATGTCAAGGTTAATCACTACCGATACAGAATGTACCAATGCAAAGTAAATTCTGATGATTGTGAAGCATGACCATTCATGATTTTAGAGTGGAGTCTTAGGTGGGGGATTGCCGGAACGATTTAAATTCTGACTAGATTTTTTCTCAATTTGAATCACTGAACTAAAAAAAAAAAAGAAGAAAACTACGTCCAAGAACAGAATTCTTCTTGTAAATTCATAAATACAACGTTCTTATTTTGTAACTTTCGATAGACTTGACCGCCAACCCACCCCCCCCCCCTCCCCATCAAACCTGGGAACATTATATCTAACAATGGTTTATGTTCCTGCCCAAATCAAAAAAAAAAAAAAGAAAAAAAATGAAAGAGATGAACCACTAGAGATGAACGGTAAGTCACATCAGATTCAGATATTTATATAGTTGATTGTCGTTAACTAGAGATGTATAGTTACATGTCTCTGCGTTAACTGATAAGAATAACAGGAAAGTATAAACTTGAAATAGATTTATGATGAATAATATGCAACTGCGGCACCCCTTTTTATCAAAACGTACATGCATGTATTTTAATGACTGTCCGTTATTTCGATTATAATGACAATTGTACGTGAAATCCTATAGTTGGTGAGACTTTTTTTACCAGATATGCGACTTTTCGTATTTATATTTTCTCTTATATTACTCTTATTTAATATTTTATGCATAAGTGCAATATTGGGAATGGTTTATTCCCCCACAAGCTAACGTAATAAATTAATCAACCCTCAAGCTGATCAGACGTTAATACAAATACTATCAGTCTATCCGGAGTGAAGTTTCGTTATTTCTTCAAATAAACTTTTTGGGGATCATAAGTGTACGTCCAGTGGCATATATATTACATGCATGTCGGAACAGGAAAATTGGAATAAGGTTCTATTAGAACCATGTTCACATTAATATACATTATAACCAACAATTGAGATGATGACGAATTTCTTCAACTGTTCGAGAACAATCTAATTGAAATATAAATCTGTGATTTTACTATGTCCATAACTTCGATGAACCAAAGCAAGTTAGATATCGACCTGTATTTAAATCAAATTGGTTCTGGATGTTCTTTCTTATATTCAATATACAATTTTAAATTGCGACTATCTAAAGTTCCGTAACTTTCTATCTAGGCATATAAACCAATGATCGACAAGTGCGTACATTTTTGTTAAATCAATAGTCTTTCATGTTTCAAAGAGTATATACTTACATTTTCCCCAATTTACCCTTGGAAAAAATATGTAAATAGATTTTTATTTTATCAAATCTTTTTTGGGAATTATTTAGATTTTCATAAATATCATTCTTTACACCAGAAATGTTATTTATAAACAAGCGTATGAGTTTAGTAATGACTAGTATATCACTATCGGACATGCGAGACAGAGATATTATACACCTGATAGTTTCAAAATGGAAAGTTACAAGTTATCGGCTGTGTACACTGATCAATACCCTCAGAAGTGAAGCGATGCATGAACATGCTTTATGTAATTGTGTAATAAGAGTTTTTAAGCCGACAGGAAATCGCTTGAATACCTGGACGTGTCACCTCACAATACCTCAGGGAATAATTCCTTTAGACATGCTGGTGATCAGATAAGAGAAGGTCCGAATTTATTTAAATAAGTTTATTACATAAAAGAATTATGAACAAATTAGATTTTAGAAAACAATTTTACACGGAACACTTATTTATGACATTGAACTTTGACTTTTTAACTAATTCCCATATAAATTTCTTGTTTCAAAAACTTCGTAAGAAAAAACAGTTTAAAAACGACAGACCATAGTTATTTAAAAAAATAATTACATTTTCCGTATCAAGTTAGTTAGTCAGATAAATGCGACTACGTTAGGTTACTGCTGGTTTTGGTCCTTTATGGTTTATAGATATATCATGGTTTCTAAACCGAGAAGATGTCAACATGGCAGCACGCAGAGAATTGATACTCTAAATTTAAAATCGACGGTGATCTCTTATCTAGCAGAATAAAACTTTAATATTTATGAATTTGTGCTTTTTTATACAGAATGGACATAATATAAATTTTTTATTTTTTTGCGAAGTTTCCCTTTAAGGGACTTCATTCGTGGGTACCGGACTGGTATCCTGTAACTGGGATCCTATTCCAAATAGCTGGAAGGTAAAATCAATTACAAATTTGAAAAGTACAATACAGATTTTACTATCAAAATAAACAGGCAAGACTTATCTCTGTGTCAACAGTTTATTAGAATTTATTGGAACTTTTTAAGAATCAGAACCCTATGATGCCATATTGCACTTTGTATTTTGTTTTTAATCTACAATACTTTTGGGGTTTCCTCTGCCATACCTTTATGTGGGCAGGTGTAGCATTTTATGATCTTTGCTCATAGTACAGCTAATTTTTGTAATAGAAAAGAATTAGAGAACTTTGATTTGATTGAATGAAATAAAAATATTGTAATAACATAATGTTCATATATATGTAGCTTAAAGGTAGAAAAGACAAACTTGGAAACTGTTGCGACATTTGGAGGTGGTCTCTGTGAACCAGGATCTTACCCTGATGAAGAAAACTGCTTGGTTACAATCAACCTCTTGGATCAAGCTGTGTTACCATTGCCAATATGTAATGCTGATGGAACTTACTCATGGCCTGACAGTAAGTTACCTTAATATGTTATCTTAATGGTAGTTACTCATGGCCTGACAGTAAGTTACCTTAATATCTTATCCTAATTGCAGTTACTCATGGCCTGACAGTAAGTTACCTTAATATGTTATCTTACTGGTAGATACTCATGGCCTGACAATAAGTTACCTTAATATGTTATCCTAATTGCAGTTACTCATGGCCTGACAGTAAGTTACCTTAATATTTTATCTTACTGGTAGATACTCATGGCCTGACAATAAGTTACCTTAATATGTTATCCTAATGGAAGTTACTCATGGCCTGACAGTAAGTTACCTTAATATGTTATCTTAATGGAAGTTACTCATGGCCTGTCAGTAAGTTTCCTTAATATGTTATCCTTATGGTAGTTACTTGTGGCCTGACAGTAAGTTACCTTAATATGTTATCTTTATGGTAGTTACTCATGGCCTGACAGTAAGTAACTTTAATATGTTATCTTAATGGTAGTTACTCATGGCATAACGGTAAGTTTCCTGAATATGTTATCTTAATGGTAGTTACTCATGGCCTGACAGTAAGTTACCTTAATATGTTATCCTAATGGTAGTTACTCATAGCCTGACAGTAAGTTACCTTAATATGTTATCTTAATGGTAGTTACTCATGGCCTGACAATAAGTTACCTTAATATGTTATCCTAATGGAAGTTACTCATGGCCTGACAGTAAGTTACCTTAATATGTTATCTTAATGGAAGTTACTCATGGCCTGTCAGTAAGTTTCCTTAATATGTTATCCTTATGGTAGTTACTTGTGGCCTGACAGTAAGTTACCTTAATATGTTATCTTTATGGTAGTTACTCATGGCCTGACAGTAAGTTACTTTAATATGTTATCTTAATGGTAGTTACTCATGGCATAACGGTAAGTTTCCTGAATATGTTATCTTAATGGTAGTTACTCATGGCCTGACAGTAAGTTACCTTAATATGTTATCCTAATGGTAGTTACTCATAGCCTGACAGTAAGTTACCTTAATATGTTATCTTAATGGTAGTTACTCATGGCCTGAAAGTAAGTTATCTTAATATGTTTTACTCCTGGCCTAACAATAAGTCTTGTTTAAGTCAATGATAAAGAATATTTCAAAAATGTGGAAAATGAAATATTGCTTTTGTGGATAATACTGTAAAGTTTGTGAATAAAATTCTTTGTCACTTCCATTTGATGTCAACTTACTTTATTCAGAATTAGTGCATTAATGGTTCAGTCATATATTATTTTTGAGACTTTATATTGTACTTTTTTATAATTACAGTAAACTGGGCAACATACTTTAGTAAGGAAGCTGTCTTGGAAAGACTGAAACAGGCAGGCAAAAAGGCAGCTAAGCAGTTGGCAGGCAATCTTGCCGAAGAAGCATTGGCTGCACTTGGTTTACCAGCAGTAAGTTTTTAGACTTTGTGGATATTTCAAGTTTTCTCTTTTGGTTGTTAAGATAGATTTATCAGAAAATTCTGGCATTTATTGCAGTAGAGTTTAAGAATTGGACTAAGATAACTTGGAAACGAATTATATCAAAGGGTTGAAATAGAAACTTTGAAGCAGATTTCAGTGCGAGCATCAAATACAAATAAAAACCAACACTTTACTGAATGTAAAGAATGATATGTAAGTTTGTGCTAGTAGAATAATATTGTTGTAATGTCAATCAACATAATTAACATACCTATATATCTTTGTAGGATTTACTTACTGCTACTGGACCATGTCCCAGACCAGAAAATATGACATTGGCCTTATTGAAAGGCAAGATGATTGATGCAGATCTAAGCACTGATGGTACAAGACTAGATCTGAATTCCAGATATGAGCTTTATGATAGAAGTAAGAAATATACAGTTAATAGTAAAAAGGCTACACAAATGTAAATCTCTTGTTATACAGCTCTCCATTAAAGTGAAGTAAATCGTTAATGCTGATCATCGTGTCCCTTTTGACATACTGCTATTGTGCTACTCCTATTTCAGTTTTGATCAGAATGGAAATGTTTTGTTTCAAATAGCAAAACATGGGCTTTGGCATATATCTACAATTGAGGTAACAGTTCTACGAATGTATGTCCTTTGCTCAAAGTGTTTCTGGTTGACCAATTACAAACATTGTTATGGCTATTTGTGACAAACTAAATACAATTTACAACATATATACAACAAATCTTATAACAATTAGTTAATCAAGAGTCCTTTATCCTCAGTTCCATTGACCGTTTTAAAAATAAACCTAGACTTTGTACCTGTAGAAAATTTGTTGGATTGAGCATATATTGCAGCTTTTGTTATTGAAACTAGTAAGTCAATATTTTGAGAAACAATTTCAGAGAAATAAGTGGTTCTTACATTTTTATTTCTTTGGCAATTGAAATAAAAATGAAATTAATTGTCTATATTTTTAATAGAGCAAAAATTACTAAGTCTGAAGATTTCGAGGTACTTTTTAGCTCACCTGGCCCAAAGGGCCAAGTGAGCTTTTCTCATCACTTGGCGTTTGTCGTCTGTCGTTAGCTTTTTACAAAAATCTTCTCCTCTGAAACCACTAGGCCAAATTTAATCAAACTTGGCCACAATCATCATTAGGGTATCTATTTTAAAAATTGTGTCCGATGACCCTGCCAACCAACCAAAATGGCCGCCATGGCTAAAAATAGAACATAGGGGTAAAATGTAGATTTTGGCTTATATCTCTGAAACCAAAGCATTAAGAGTAAATCTGACATAGGGTAAAACTGATTATCAGGTCAAGATCCATCTGCCCTGAAATTTTCAGACAAATCTGACAACCTGTTGTTGGGTTGCTGCCCCTGAATTGGTAATTTTAAGAAAATTTTGCAGTTTTTGGTTATTATCTTGAATATTATTATAGATAGAGATAAACTGTAAACAGCAATAATGTTCAGCAAAGTAAGATCTACAAATGAGTCGTATGACCAAAATTGTCAGTCGACCCCTTTAGGAGTTATTGCCCTTTATAGTCAATTTTTAACAATTTTTCGTAAATTTTTGTAATCTTCTACAAAAGTCTTCTTCTCTGAAACTACTGAGACAAATTTAACCATACTTGGCCATAATCATTATGAGGGTATCTAGTTTAAAAAATTTGTCCGATGACCCTGCCTTCCAACCATCATGGCCGACTTGGTTAAAAATAGAACAAAGGGGTAAAATGCAGTTTTTGGTTTATATCTCTGAAACTAAAGCATTTAGAGCAAATCTGACAGGTGGCAAAAATGTTCATGAGATTTAGATTTATCTGCCCTGAAATACTCAGACGAATCCGACAACAGTTTTTGGGTTGCTGCCCCCAAGTTAGTAGTTTTACAGAAATTTTGCAGTTTTTTGTTATTATCTTAGATATCATTATAATATCTAATATCTAATACTATTAATTATGATTTTAACCTTATTTTACATGATTTCCAATGCTTGAGTAAATACAGGTGAGCGACACAGGCTCTTGAGAGCCTCTAGTTTAATATTAATGACAGTTACAGTTTTCATATAAAATTTAGCACATAAAGTATGTTATATACAATTGTATTTGAATGTACATATTTGATTCCTAAGTATTATGACTGATAAAGATTAATATCACCAGCACTACATATCATAACTATGTCTACATTGTATAGAAATGTTGCTTTTTCAGGCTGTTATTCCCCGCTAATCAACAAAACCTTAACTCTTCCTAACATAACTGACCCCAATCTAAAGACATTCCTGTATTACCAGTTGTCTCCAAACTGTATGCGATTTGATGCCTGTACTGATGTCACCATCAAGGCCATAGGCTACACTAAAGCATTGAAGGCCTACGTAGAACTGGATCCCTGTCACTTCATCCTTTATGCTGGTTTTGAGAAATGGGAACGTCAGTTCATCCTCATTTCTTATGAATGGGGTATGTTTTGATAGTGAAGTAATGTTACACATTGTTGTACTATACATAAAAGAAAAACATAAAAATTTTCTGAAAATGTTTTTTTCCAAAACAATTGTATAGTGGGTCAGAAGGCTTTTCATTAAAAAGTATGGTGGGTGTTAGTCATATCACACAAGAGCAGTGTTAGAAATAAACGAAATAATTCCAAACTATGTCTGGTTTTGATAAAGTTAAAAAATGCCTTTAAATCCCCCCCATTCTTTTAATATTATTGCATGACCCCCAATAATCCTCTTGTACAACTCATGTACTAATAGTGCAAGGATTAAACAATTATTTTCTCTTGTGAAATAAATCATATCAAAAGTAACTAAACATACATACTCTACAACTAGAAAAAAAAACCAACATTGTGGAATTTGGTAATGACATTTCATTTTTATTTGTTGAACAAAGTAGAAATCTTGATGTCGTTTTACAGAAGCAACATAAAAAAATTCCATATACATGCAAATATGTAACAAAAAAATTGTTCACTAAAAATTAGTTGGTTAACAGTATACTACAGCAATAAACAAACAAAAGAAACATAAACTTAATCCAACAATGGAATACAAATACTACTGCTTTTAAAATTAAGACTTTTAATTACTGTTAATTCAGAAATTTTAGTGATGCTGTTCTTTTATGGCGTAAATTTTGAGGAGATAGGTGTCAAAAAAATCAAAACTTCGATTTTACATTTTGACAGCAATAATTATTCGCAGCATTTTCTAAATTTAATACACTTGAAAAGAAACAATTTTATTACATACAGAAATACATATAAATTAGCATTATGATATTTTGAAACTTTAATGTTATGATCTATTTTTTAGGAAAAGAAGAAGTACTAGAAATAACCCCTGAGATAAAAGTTTTGTAAGTTTTTGTCTATATTTTTTTTATTGGAAAACTAAGCCAGTTGAAAGTTTGATATAGTGTAATCTGCTCGTATAAGTTTATGAAAAAAGTGATACTTGTGAACATATTAATTTATCCAAGCATTCATTTGGTTGCAGTTTTGTTTTACATATGCATGTGAATTTATCATTTCATGATATTGAATATTGACGATTTTCACTTGTCATTCAGGAGTTAAAAGTCCTTGATTTATTAGAAAATTGCACTTTATCTTTTCAGTGCAATAAGATAAGAAACATTATTGGTTGTCCCACTGTCTGTATCACTCTGCTCAGCTGTAAATAGCATTGCATATCATGGCTTTGTGACATCAAATACGTTGACCCGGCCTTAATAACTTTGACCGGGACATATCACCAATGCAATAATGAATGAACCGACGATGATAAGTTTGACCCGATCTTATCAAGTCATCTTCTGGTTTGCTGTTGCAACAAAGAAAAAACTTGTTTCTATCATGCAAAATATGCAAATACAACCTGCTAAATTGATTATGTGGTTATCTGCATATTTATATTGTAAAATATCAGCTGCTCGACACAATATGAACCCTTTTTGAACTTGTTAGCTGTGCTCACTCGACAAAAAGCTTCATATTGTGACTCTCAGCTGATATTTTACAATATCAATATGCAGACAACCTGATTATCGGTACTTTAACCAATGGTATTCAAATTTTGTTATGTTGAAACTGATAACAAAATGGAGGTTAATTTTTTTTAATGACGATTTTCACTTTTGCTGTTCTCAAGATATGGTCCTTTATTCATTGGAAAATAGCACTTTGTTAATTCAGTGCAATGAGTTGATAACTGTAAAACCGATGCTTTTCAACTTTAAATATTTGTAACTGATGACAAAATGGAGGTCAAATTTGATGATTTTCCCTTCTGCTATTCTGGAGCTATGATTCTTAATTGCTTTTACATTTACATTAATCATTAATAAATGTAAGAAAAACCTGGTTTTCTGTCATTTTGACAGAAATATGTTTCAGCAGTAATTTTTAAAATTACTTTAAAAACGTAAATCTTAAAAAATGATTTAAATAATGACCTTTTTGTTGCAGGATCAAGATAGGTCGTGACGCTGACGTTAAGAAAGTGTTCATTGTGAACTTTGGACTCAGGATTTGTATTGCAGGAGACTGCGTCATTGACGAGTATTTCATAGAAGATTATGAAGTTCCCATACCCCTTTGTAATGAAAATTTCACATTACCAGGTTAGTCACATGATCACAATGAAAATTTCACATTACCAGGTTTATAGTCATATGATGACAATGAAAATTTCCCATTACCTGATTAGTCACATGATCACAATGACAGATGGAACATTTGTGTGAAAATATTCACGGGATATTTGGACATGGATTTTAAAATAAAAAAATTATAAGGGACTTCGGAAAATAGACCTTAAAAGAATGTATTAGTAACTTAAATATTAAGTTTTTTTTGTGACTAATAAAAATGGTTGTTCAATCTGTACAGAATTCAGGCTTTACCTTAATTCGTAATTTTAAATTGGAGAATATATAATTTATAATTAAAATGAAATATTTAAGTGCTGATACACATTTAAACCTTTATCTTTATATGTATTCTTAACAGCTCATAAAATAAACAGCCTTTGAAAAAATAATCTAATGGTAGTTGGTTAATTATGATTAAGCTTTTAAGAAGTTTGTTACAGCAGTCACAGGATCACTATCCCTATGTCGAGCTTTTTTTTACTCAATCTACGAAAATTGGTACCCCCAGAAATAAATGAACCAACATTATTGTACTGAAAACAGTATGAGACACTAGGTATTGATGATACTTTTTGTATATTTGATATTTTTTTGGGAAATAATAGTTTTTATGCCCCACCTAGGGGCAGTTGTTTTTTCGGTCTGTGCAACTGTTCGTCCCATTCGCCTGTCTGTCCTGCTTCAGGTTAAGGTTTTTGGTCGCTTCAGGTTAAAGTTTTTGGTCAAGGTAGTTTTTGATGAAGTTGGAAGTCCAATCAACTTGAAACTTAGTACACATGTTCCCTATGATAAGATCTTTCTAATTTTAATGCCAAATTAGAGTTTTGACCCCAATTTCATGGTCCACTGAACATAGAAAATGATAGTGTGAGTGTGGCATCTGTGTACTATGGACACATTCTTGTTTTGAAAGTGAAAAAAAAAAAAGATATTGAAAACTTTGCATATGGTTTCTGTTTCATTAAAGGAATGAATTAGAGGAACAAGAAGAGAGTTTTTTCCTTGAAGCATTTGATAGGTGAAAATCAATACATTTCAGAAATGTTGGACAGTTTTAAATAATCAATAAGGTTTTGGTAAATATGTTTATTTATAAAAGGAGATATTAGGTTATATATTAAAGAGACAACAACATAATGACACAAAAAAAAACAACAAATACAAACTTTCCAATATATGCTTGTATATTTTATAGGTGGTGGATCAATTACAGACTTTGCTAAAACTCTGGGAGGAGCTATTACAGCTGAGGCATTTAACCTCATTCTTAGGATGTTGAATTTAGACGTAAGTAGTTGATGTTGATCTCATTCTCAAAACGCTAAATTTGAATGTAAGTAGTTGGTGTTGAACTCATTTTCAGAACGTTAAAATTGAATGTAAGTAGTATTGGTGTTGACTTCATTCTCAACAGTTTAGAAATGAAATGATTTTAATGACTTAAAACATAAATTAGTGCAAAATGGCGATAAAAAAAATCTGATCTCAATGAAATGAATTTCATGACCTAAATCCCACTCTATCAATTCAGTCAGTGACCTTTCGGATTAGATCATGTCTGGCAAACATTTCTGTTCAGAACCCTTGAATGAAACACTGTTTTATATTAAAGATGCTAAAACATGTACATTTGAACTAAGGAATTTGCATGAAAATGTTTTGTTTTGTTTTAGACTATATTCCAGGAAGGAAGCTGTTCTGTACCTCCAGGACCAACAGGTATACAAAGTTACTATTTGGTTTGTTTTTATTTCATCTTAGTTATGTTTATTTTTATTTCAATTACTGCCTCTGTGGTATCATTGAAGTATGCTCGTTTCATTTGTGGGTCTATTCCAAGTAAAGTAAAACCAATGACATTTAATTGATATTTGCCGCCATAAATGCTGCAGTTAGGATTGGATGAAAAGACGGGTCATCTATGAGTCAGAATTATGTATCTGAGTCAAGCGATATGTCTTTGGTCATCTATGAGTCAGAATTCTGTATCTGAGTCAAGTGATATGTCTTCTATCAGACTGTCACCTTGTGAGCTAGCTTGTGTTATTCATATCTCTTTAACATGTACTTATTTTGAATTTGCATGTAATATTTGCTCCTTGATATTAAGCAACTATTAATGTATCATTAAGATATTTTTTGCAGTAATTTTGATTCACATAGTTCAAAAGAGTCAGCACTATAATGTCACTGTTTGAAATTAAGGCTATTGTTTTATGAGATACTGGTACTTTTATTCAAAGCAGAAAATTTTTTTTTGCAATTGTTACTAGTGTTCAGTAGTATATCTTTTATGACAATTTGTCTTGAGGTTGACACTGGAAATTCATTTATTTTTGTATTTTATAAATGTTAGGGCTAATAGCAGCACAAATAATGTAAACATTTCTTGTTAGGTTTCCCACCGTGTTTTCATTTTGCTCTCCTTGGACACCTTATGTACTAAGGAGAAATAACCTTTGTTGTTCAACATATGTGTTTTTTTCAAGAGCGATATATTTCTAAATTCAATTAGATTGTCAATGGAATATTGATGTAAAATCATACCTACCAACTGCTGTTAAACATCTTGTAACCTGTGAAATGCCTGAGAACTGTTTTGGATTGGACTGTTGTGTAGACTTTAAGTTTACATTACCAGCGACTTTGGGAGGCAGAGTGATAGCTTATTCTGTTCCATTTTGGTTTAAAATGAGTCCTTGTGACTTTACCATTGATGTTGGACTTGGAACCTGGACCTACAAGAAGACTCTCTTTGAGTATACTTGGGGTAAGGATTGTCAGCTTATCTATTTTATACCATTTTAGCTAAAGAATTTTTATTGCTACATAAAAGGTAAACTTGTCAATATACCAATATGTTTTTCTTCCTTGTAACATTCTTGTAATTATACCTTCACTCAAAATTAAACTCCGTTTGGTGAACCAACGCCTGTGTGAATCATTTCGATACAGTCCAAAATGTTCAATGTTTCTGGTATAGAACCACTAATTCAGGCCCAGTCGGAAAGAACATACAAGAAAGTAGTACATATTTAAAACAAAATAGTTCCTACGCATAGCTGTATCTTTGTCAATTACAATAGGTGAAATATTTGGGTAGTTTTGGTATCAAATGAAAGCTTGGGGACTTGGGATCACCGTAGAACTCTTGTTGAAAGTTTATTTTGAATAATAAAGAAGTATATAAAATTATAATAGGAGGGCACATTTGCCCTGTTGTTCAGATCAGAAGTACCGGTTTTTGTACTATCAAACTTCCGGGAACCAGTACGCTCTAATATGCAATTAAAGGTATGTTGAATTTTTCAACACAAGTTAGGATAAGGTACAGTTTTGACATGAAATGACTGCCACTTTATTTGAACTTAAGACAAAGTAGCCATTAATGCTTGAAATTGCAGAATTTAACATAGAAAGCAATGGGGCTATGAATTAGTGGTTTTATACCTTCTATGAAGAATGCTGCAAATTATCTACTTGAAAGATTTCAAAGATAAGATAAAAAAAATGATCACAAAAAGTACTTATTTGTAAGGTGTTTGTTTTCAATTGAAATTCTTGAATATTAAATGTTTATTTTGGTAAACATGTGTTGTTTTGTTGCTGTCTCATTTTATCAATTATTTTGAAATTAGACTTATATTTTCTATGTATTTATTCTAATTAGCCAAGGTCTTTATATTTCATAATATTTCCTAGGTGAAC